TTGTATTAATTAATGAAAATATCAATTATAATTATTTTTTAAACATAAATTAAGACCTATTCGATGACGTGCCTAAAAAATTTAGAGTTTTTTTCTAAATATTACTAAACTAAAACTTATTTACACAGTTATGACTAATAGTTACTACACTACAATATCATGGCCACGTAAGCTTAAAAATTGAACATAAATTACTATGATTATGTTTCTACTATAATCACTAGTAACATTTTTGTAAACAACTTTCATTTTAGTCATAAATATGTAATTATTTCAAAAAAACAAATCATTACAAATCACTTAGTTTAAAAAGTTAACTTTCAAAGGTAGTACATATTAATGTTCATTTATGCCATTATTAATTTCATTAGTACTTATTTATTTAATTATTTATTTATATATATAATAATTTTACAAAAGAAAATAAAAATTGAGGCCCCTTTAGGAGTGGAGGCCATAGGCAATTGCCTAGGGTAACTCCCACCAAAGCCGGCTCTGCACTCGGGTTGTCAAATTCAGTTAGAGCCCGGCAGAGGCAGAGGCATGGGGTGTGAGGGAAGCTATCCTTCGGGCTAGGGAGAATAAATGGAGAAAAATAGTGATTGAGATAGATGCAGCCTTGACAATAGCGGGAATTCAAGGAGAATCGTGTGCGGGCCAAATCGGAGTTATTTTTGACGATATAAAAGCATTCTTGAGAGAAAATGGGGACATCCAAGTCAAGTGGTGTAGAAGAGAGGCAAATAGAGTAGCTCATACATTTGCTCGTTTTGCTCTTTCAACGGGTGGTTGTGATACTGTTTATGATTCGCCACCCGAGTTTATTGTTAGCCATTTGGCAAACGATTTAATTTTATAATATTGGCGTTTTTCTTAAAAAGAAATCATGGATCCAGGCATGCCTAAATCTCAGATCTATCAGTATATAATTATTTATAATTATATGATGTCGATCTTGGAATTTAATCTAACAATTGGTATCAGAACCAAGTCCGATTAGACATCATAAATTATACTCCCTCCGCCCCTCTAACTTTGTCCTGTTTTACCTTTTTCGTTCGTCCCATTAAGGCTCTGGTTGCAATCACTTAATTTAAGTGGTTGTGGCTTTTTTTATAAGAAAAAAGCACTTATTTTACCAAACACTACCAACTTTTACTACTATTCATTTTTTTCCAAAAAGTATTTATATTTAAACACAAGCATTTGCAAATAAAGCCTAAGTTTGTCCCATACCATATTAGGCAACATTTGGGTGGTTACAATTCATTCTTACTTTATTCACAATTTATCAATTCAATGACAACCACACAATTTCACTTTTTTTTAAAAGTTATGTCACACCACTTTGTCCCAAACATAGTAGGGGACGGAGGTAGTATGTCGTACACGAATTTTTTTTCCGGATTCGTTATCTTGAATTTGAATTTCTCGTATGATGATTTTCCGTGTGAAGTCGAATACTATAATTTTCCTGTTCTTGAGTTCCGCTTACGTAGGATTTGATAATCATTAGAATCCACCAATTTATGAATCTCGTTGCAATTCTAATTGAATTTACCTTCGAAGTGGCGGCCTTAGTTAGGTTTAGGAGTTCACAATATATCTTTAGGGCGGCGGCAAGTTAATTTAGGATCATCTAGATTCATGATCTAGATGCTTTTATTCGTAAGTTAATTGGATCAATTGATTTTTAGTGGCGCCGGATGTATTAGTTCTCATCAATCATCTATCCACATAATTTCCTTGTTGCCGTCGATTTGTCGTTTGTCTATGACAGTATGACGGCAAATACTCCTAAGTGAAAGAAAGTAATTTAATATTAGGAGTCCGGCAAGTTTAATTTGATCGACCATGTTTCATGGAGTAACTCTATTTACTTTCCTTTGTTTTATGGACATGTTTTTTGTGAACGAATTTGTTATTAAATTATGTCAAATTTCCAGATCTATATTTCTAGACTTGAAGCTTCCGCATTTAATTAAATTTATATGGAGACTTTTATGCACTAATTAAATTTAAAGTGATATCAAGTTTGTCTCGTGTTATTATTGACTCAATTAATCGTTTAAATATTTTTGTAGTCTGTTAGTCACCAAAGTGACCTGGCTAGTTTATTTAGATCAATTTTGTTCATGTTTATGTACTCATTTAAATTTTTAATGATAAGATTGGTGGTTAATCACTAAAGGGATACAACTAGTTTGGTTAATTAGAAATTTTGATTGAGTAGGTCAAACTGATCATAATTAATCTACGTTTAATGAAGTAATGAACATTTGAGTTTAATTATTAACATATAATGAGTTTGTTAGTCACCAAAGTGGCCTGACTCATATGAGAGTTAAATAATTAAATTTTTATGATCAGTTTACCTATGTTTGATGAATATGTAAATTTAATTATTTACATATAAGGAGTTTGTTAGTTATCAAAGTGGTCTGACTCATATGAGAGTTAAATAGTTAAATTTTTTATGATGTGTTTAATTTTTGTCCAAAAATGTAATGCTTGTTAGTTACCAAAGCGGACTAAATCAATTTAAACAATTTAATTGAGTAGAATTTAATATATGACTATATTCACTCATTTAAATTTCTAATGTTATGATAAGTTGTTAATCACCAAAGTGATTTAATGGTTAACTTAGAAATTTTAATTGAGAGAATTGATCATGATTTTAGTAGATGTATATTTAAATTTAGTTATTTACACATATGGAGTTTGTTAGTCACCAAAGTGGTTTGACTCATACGGTTTGTAAATAATTAAATTTTATGTAATTACACGTCTACCATTGATTTGATTTATTGTCTATAAATATAATGCTTGTTAGTCACCAAAGGGGTCTGACCGAGAGTTATTAGACAAATAAATCTGAAAGGTAAAATCGATTCTTTGTAATTTTAGGATACTAAATAATATAAAAATAATGCATTCAGATTATATTGCTATAAGATCACCAAAAGGTGGATCATGCATGTATAATTTTTGCAATTTAAGAGGCTAATTTTTATACTTAGATTAAATTGGGTTAATGTCCAAAGACAACACTCATTTTTTTATCATCAAAACAGGTCTCTATTCATATCAAAAGATGCAGGATCATTACATCAAGCAAAGAAAAAATAAAACTGACACCAACTGAAACTCCAACAACTACGACTGTAACTCTATGGTGAGACTTTGAGACGGTCACCCCTGAAAGAGAAACACGAATCGCTAACCATGCAGTGGGCTTGACACAGCCAAACATGTTCCCATAAATCCAACCATACCCAATGACATAAAGAGAGACTAAAAACTCAAACAAATTGTCAAAACCAATAACAAAGATGAACACAAGAAAACAAATGACAAACGGATAAAAATTACTAGGAAAACTCTCACGGACTCTAGCACCTCGTACAACTCATGGTGGTGGTTCAGGCGGAGGTCGGACCGTCGCTCGATTGATACTCTCTTTCAGTAGAGTACCCGCCGTATGACCCAAATCCATGCCATCGAATGGAGCGTTAAGCCTCTCCACGCTAGCCATGTCCCAATCATCCCTATGTCTCTCTCTCACTTCTTCCACCATCTTCTCGCTGCCACGATCATCCATCCCGAGCTACGTCCAAACCACAACAATCCAGCGCAGAGCTGCGTCGATTGAAAGAAATGTCGCACCAAGGCGGCGAAGTAAAAACCCTACACGAGAGATCTCGCTAGGGAAACACTGACCGAACTATAACTTAGTTAACTTAGTTAATATTAAAACGCATGTTTAGGATGATTTAAAGACAACACTCATTTAGTCATGTATAATTAATTGTCTATTTTTGTATATTATTTGACATCATTTTATGTATATATTTAAGGATCACCTAAAGGTGAATTTAAGCATATATGTTTAGGTTTTCCAAGAATGAATCTGTATTAGTTAATTCAAAGCATTAATAGTAAGCATGTATATTGTTGCAGCTTCATAAAATCTTTTATCGTCCACAAACGATTTAATTAGGGAGTTCATGTTAGATATCAAGTAAAACAAGATTGATACACATTTAGGTTTTGTGTGTTTCGAATCAAATCTCATAGAAGTTCCTAATAACGCTTGGTGGTTAGATCTTGTGCTTCTACTCATGTTTATCATATTATGAAGGGATTTAAGTTCATCCAACCAATAAGGGGAAATGAACAATTTCTATTTATGGGGAATATGATGATAGCTCGCATTGAAGGGACAGAGACCTATATGTTGATCTTAGACACTGGATGTCATTTAGATCTAGATAATTGTCTTTATGTGCCCGATTGTGCTAGAAATCTTGTTACAATTATTAGGTTGGATGACTTAGGATTTCATATCAAGTTTGGGATACCTTTTCATTATTTAAGGATAATATTATTTATGGATCTGGTATGTTGGTTGATTCCCTATATCATTTTTAATCTTGATTTGAAATTTACTGAATCTCTATTTAACTTTGAAAATAATGTAGGAGTTAAGCGTAATGCACTAGATAATGACTTAGTTTTCTTGTGGCACCAACGTCTCGGTCATATTTGCAAAAGATAAGCTCATATGATTAATGATGATGGAGTATATTTCAGCCATTAAATGCACTGGTGCAATAGAAAGAGATCATGTCCATCCAGATGGACAGGAGCATCCGTCCGGCCAAGGACATTAGAGGCCCTTCCCACTGAAATTTTTTGATGAAATATTTTGAGCATGTTCTTCATGAAGTCTACTTTATCCATACTAAATTTCAGCTAAAAATTCAACCGGGAAGGCACTCAAATGATTTTTGGAAGATGACTGTGTTTTATATGTATATAAAGTGCTCAGTTAACTTCTAAAAAAAATTTGACTGTCTTCCCGGTTGAATTTTTAGCTAAAATTTGGTATGGATAAACTAGACTTCATGAAAAACATGCTCAAAAAAATTCATCCAAAAATTACACCGAGAAAAACCTCAAATAGTAAAGTTCGGACAAAGCCTCCCATCCCTTGATGGACCTCAGCATTCCTCCTGGTGCGATACTTGTAGTAGTAATATATGGAAAAGCGTATATCTCGTGGGTATCACACCGATTTACGCGATTGACGATACTGCCTCCTTTGGAAGCAAACGTGTTCTGGGTCAAGCAAACGTTAAAACGCCCGCTTGTGTTATGCCGTGTTCTGCTTCATGAAAATTGAGAGCGATTAGAACCATGCCTACCGATTTCTGTTTCGAGCATTCGGAGATCAGCATATTGCCTCTTGATAACTCCAATTTTGAGGCTAAAGAGATTGTGAGTGAGTCTGAAAACGAATCTGTCCGCCAATCGCCTTGCAAAAAACAGAAGGTTGTCGCAGAAAATACTGATGGCGAGTCCGAGTATGATTCGCTTAGCGATCCAGATTCGGAGTCAGATATGCACCCCTTTTATGGGGAAATGGAATCCGAAGTAAATAACAGCATAACATATTGTTTCTTCTCCTTTTAAGCTTGTTTAGTTAACAGTCTGTGTTCTTTTTCTCCTCAGTGTTTTAACATTGGTGATGAACCAACAGTAATTTGCAACATGCGGATGTATCCATTCGATTTGCAAGAAGAAAAGAACATGCGGAGGATGAGGTTTTGGGCCAATTATGCTATATTTATCATGAATGAGCAGGTACTTAATTATTTAGATAGTTACTGCGTGATTATGATGATGAGCGTTATCATGAAATTTGAGGCCATTGGTTTATCTTTTTCCAAATTTCAGATCTTTGTCAATCAGAATCCATATACGAGCCTCCAACTAAAGGAAGTAGTACGGGTTGTTTCAACTCCAATGCCCTGCTGTGCAATATTCATGACATTCCAAGCTCAAGATAGGAGTGGAGTGGTGTTCAACTATGAAGCTAAAATGCATGACTTCATGATAAGTTATCAATTGCAGGTTGAGTTTTGCAGAGAAGTGGGATCCGACAAAAAAGGTATTCAATTATGTTTTACTAGTATAGAATTAAGTGTTCAGTTCATTTTTAAGTTATGTGTCTTGTTTAGTCGTTAGCAGACAGTAGATTTGCTTTTACAACAAGGACTGGGCATACTAGGATTTGATTTATAAAAATTATTAACACCTCCTTGCCCCCTTCCAATTGACTATTTGACTTGAGGTAGCATTGAGAGAAGAAGCCAACCACTTAATTTATAATCAAAGTGAAGGTTTAAAAAGGCGGGTTCCTATATTGTGGAGAACAAAAAGGCTTGATACCCAATGTATTTGCCTCTCCACTAATCTTCAATTCTCCGCCTCTCCATTATCTTTGTTTCACACTTTTTGGACTTATAATTTTGGATATATCCTTGTTTGTTACTCCCTCCGTAACTTAAAAATCTTCCCACTTTCCTTTTTCGTCCGTAACACAAAAATCTTCCCATTTTTAAATCTTCCCATCATACCCTCAATAATTCTTAAAATAATACTAGTATATTGTGAGGCTTGTGCCTCAATACGCTTATACGCCTAAGGCTTACGCATCTCCTCTTAGGAACAAACTAAGATAATGGTCTTGCCTTTTATCATATTGTGGTAACGTTTTTTCTTTGATCATTTAATTTGGTTATACGCTTGGATCATACTTTTTTGTTCAATTCTGGCCAAATGCTTTTTAAATCACAATTTGTATATTCAATTGTTTGATGTAAATAAATATGCAATTTTTCATAAAACTGTGTTTGATAACTAATAATAGATATATATTGTCTATGTGTTCGAATTTCGAAATTTTAAAATACTACTCCGTAGAACACATCATTACACATAAAGTGAAATACATTGAGTTACGAAATATCACAAATAATGTTGTTAGGAAGCTATCGATAAAAATTCTATCAAAAAGTAAAAAAAAAAAGGCACTATTGCATTGACAAATACCATCACAGAAAAAAAGTGAAAATCTAAAGTTTTTGAATTTGTAATACATTAGGGGGTGTTTCTCAATTATTTTTAATATAGAAAAACAATAGTAAATATCACGATCTTATGAGTATGATTGCACAATTCGACAATCATTTCTTCACTGAGAGTTGTAAAAGAAAAAGGGATCAACAGAATTCACAGAATCACCAGACAATATTAGAAAAGTGTAGAATTGTATTGATTCATGAATACCTAGCGACTGGCGTAGCGAAAATAAAATATAATCTGACATCATGAATTGTTGGCAAAAATTTGTCCAAAATATATGGAATTTCTTGGAACTGTGGAAAGTCTTGTATTACTCTATATTATCATTAAGGATCCATGAGGGTGATTGAATACCTGACTTGCGGGGTGTATAAAAGACCATTAATTCTTATCAGTTACAACCGTTACTATATATCATCATCACCATCATCGTCGTCATCATTGCTGTCATCATCGTCATCGTCATATAGAGAAAATATCTTACCTTATAGGGTTGCTTCCTAATTAATTAATTATCCCTTCTAAATTTCTAATTGTCTTTATATATATATATATATATATATATATATATATATATATATATATATATATTATTTTAATCACTTTTATCTTATCACTCATGAGTACTACATATATCTTATCTCAATTTTATATTATCATTTTGATCATTTCTTATCTTTTTTTCCTTTTGGCTCCAATATCATGTATCGATTCATGTTAGCCAACCCCAAAATCTTTTGAGACTAAGTTTTGGATGGTGTTGTATTACTATTACTACTCTTATTTCTTACTACGTCTTTTTTAAGCTCTGATTTAATATGTTGTTGATTTTAATCTCTTTTTGGATAAGCTTAGATGTTGTTGATGAAGCGTACATTTAAATTGGAGATTTACTTTTTCATTTTGTATGATTTGTTTTGGGGTTCTTTTTTAGTGAGTCTTGAAACCTGTATTAGCAATTATTATGGGCTGTAATATACTTAAGTAAATGGTAACTACTTTTTTCCCGTTGCAGTCATTCCGAGATGGATGATGTTTCTTCCTGATTCTGAAGAAGATGAATATGTTCAATCAGAACACGATGTGATTCAGTTAAAGGATGTTGAACTCAAGCGGCGCTTCAGTCCCCATTTTGAACAAATTAAAAAAAGCAAAGCACGTGAATTAGTTTTACCTTCTTGCTTATCTAATTCTTCGTTTTTCCTAGCAATGCTGATTTTGTGTGTGTTTTACCTTTTTGATTGCCTATTCTTAGTCTTTACCGCTGCTTGTGTTCGCTGGCACCCTTCACCCAGTAGATCGTTCAAATGAAGAAGAATTTCGAAGAGTCATGTTTTGTGCCAAATTTGCCTTATTTCACTATACTGCAGAAGAGGTAACTTGTCTTTGATAATGACTTTATTAAGATTGATGTGATTGTGTTTGAAATTTACAGCTCTAAATTTGACCAGGAATCAAAGCCTACCCTTCAATTCAAAGAAATTGTGGATGCTATTAAGAGTGCAACATCACCTAGTCAAACATACTATATTACTTTCAAAGCCGAAGACACTATGTCAAGCAACAAAGAGGTTACTTTTTATGCTCAAGTGTTTGACCACATGTCAAAACATTACTTGAAGCTGGGATTTTGCAGGGATGCATCTGGGAATAGAGGTACTAAATTTCAAATGAAAGTAACCTCTAGTTTTCATGTGCAGATTTATCGATTGATTTTCAGGATTAGTTGATGCAGAGAGAGCACGTTCACTTTCTAAATATTGAAAAAAATCAATCATATCTTTTTATACTGAATAGTGAATAAATATAGCTAAGAAGTTGTTTCGGTCATTGGATTATTTAACATCTGATCAATTTTATTTTATTATTAGTATACTATAGCATCAATACTTGTTACCTAGTATATCATACCAACATCATCATCATTACCCCATTGCCGCAAAGGCTCCCACCTATGGTGGGGTAAGGGGGGTCGGATGTGCGCAGTCTTACCCCTGCACTAAAGCACAGAGAGACGGTTTCCATCATTTTGCTTTATATCATACCAACAACAATAATAATTTACACTCGTATATTATTATGATTATGATAATAATAGGAAGATGTAATTTCAGTTTGCACCCCATTTTATTGTGCAAATTGGACTTTGCACCTGTTTTTAAAAACTGTGTTTTTGCACCCCAACCCCATATGAAAAGACAAAATTGCTCCTCCCTTAACAATTTTGTTAGCCTTCAACATATTCCTGATCGAGAGCACTTTTGCCTTTTCATATGGGGTTTGGGTGCAAAAACATTTTTTTTAAAACGGGTTGCAAACTCCAATTTGAACAATAAACAATAACAACAAAATCCAAGCCTTAATCCCAAAAGATTTTGGGGTTGGCTAACATGAATCGATCCATGATAATGACACCAAAAAGAGAAGACAGATAAGAAGAAAAAAGATAAAACGAAGATTATAAAGATAGATAAATATAAGAACGATAAAGGAAAGAAAAGAAAACGAGAGAGGAAAAAAAAACCCAAGAAGACGCATATCAGTTTTGATTTCTCTAATCCAAGTCTGTTTGGGTCTTCTGCATAGAAATTCTGATGCACTCTTCCATTTCATCCACCCAGCTCTGATTCTATGGGATACATTATTATCTAATTCACCATCCATCTGGATTATGGATCCTAAATAACGAAACATATCACACATCAGTATCTCCTTACCATCAAGAGTAATCCCATGTTAGCTACTACTTCTACCTCCACTAAACTTGCACTCCATATACTCAGTCTTGCTTCGACTTAGTCTGAAACCCTTGGTCTCCAAATTTGTCGCCATACTTCCAACTTAGCTTTAACACCCGATTGTGTCTCATCAATCAATACAATATCGTCAGCAAACATCATGCACCACGGTATATCTTCTTGAATTGATTTCGTAACTTCATCCATGACTAGCAAATGAGAAAGGACGCCGATCCGATCCTTGGTGCACTTTGATAGTAATAGAGAACTTTGCGGTCCTCCCTACATTAGTACGGACACGCGTAGTACAAGCCTCATACATACATATCCATAATGATGATGATAAACTTACGTGATATGCCTTTTTTAGTTAAGGCCCATCAAAGAACTTTTCGAGGTACCCTATCACATGCCTTTTCTAAGTTAATGAACACCAAATGCATGTTAGTGTCTCTATACTTCTCCACAACTTGTTTAAGAAGGTGAATGATCTCAGTTGTTGACCTTCCACACATAAAACCAAACTGATTCTCCGAAATTTTCACACTTTTTCTAAGGCCTTGCTCAACCATTCGCTCCGAAATCTTCACACTTTTTCGAAGTCCTTGCTCAACCACTTGCTCAAACACTTTTTCTCGATAGTTGGCACATTCTTATACATCACCCTTATTTTTAAATAAGGGAATGAGAGTCGCCAACTCATTGGCATGTTGTTGTTTCTCCAAATCATGTTGAAGAAACGTGTTAGCCACTCAATGCCTTTGTCTCCCAAACTTCTCCAAGCATCAATCAGTATGTCATCTGGTCCCACTGCTTTCTTTCGCCCCATTTTTCTCATAGCCTCTTTAACTTCTGCTATTTGGATCCTTCTCACGAAGTCCTGATTTACCATACACTCTGGTATAGTAAGATCATCAATACCTTGCACCTTATTCCCGTTGAACAAGATATCAAAGTCTGACCTCCACCTCTCCTTTATTTCCCCGTCCTCCATCAATACCCTTTGATTGACATCTTTCACATCCTTTGAACAATAAAATGGGGTGCAAATTCAAATTACCCCTAATGGAACCAACTATGTAGCATTATTATTTATTACTAAGGATAATAGTATAATAACAATAAAATTATTACGTAGTAGCTACTTCAGTGTATTATAAACAATGACCATAATTATATTAATTATTGCTAATATATTATATTTTTACGTTTAGACGAACATAACATCTTAGCAACCACTGCTTTATGTTTTTTGCCATTTTGTTGGACCTTTTATGTTGACCAAAAATATTCCCATTGTGTCTAATATGAGAGATCTACCACTCAGTCATCATTGAGATAGACCTAGTAATAAGCCACCTTTTTAGTAGATCTTAGCATACTCCCTCCAGCCCAAAATTATCTTCATCCTTTCTTTTTTCGTCGGTCTCTACTCTCGAAGTAATCTTCATTATCCTTTCATGCCAATGAATTTCAGTTCGTATTATTCTTCTTTTCTGGATAACTTTTTGGGTTTTTTACAAGAATATTACTAAAATAAAATTTATTTGCACAAATATGACTATTCATTACTACAACATAGTGTTGTGATAACTTAAGTTCAAAACTTGAACATGAATTACTATGATTTTATTACTACCCTAGTAACTAATCATATTATTGTAAACCATCTTTATTTTGATCATATTCATGTAATTATTTCTAACTTTTAACATCACATGCCTTCTTCATTCCAAACATTTTGAGATGAAGGGAGAAGTTGTTTAATCTATGAAAATTCAAGAAATGAAGACTAGTTTAATGAGTTCATTATCCACCTTCTTGATCTATCAGCCATTAGGTGCCCTTTTTTTGAATTAACACATACTCTTATTGTCTTTTCTTGTATTTGTTTTGAGCAGTTATTCCGCCAGATCGGGAGTAACCAGAACATGTATGTTGGGTGTGGTTGAATGCTTAGTAGATAACTTGATGTTGGCTAGTGGTTGAATGCTTAGTAGAATTTTTATTCCAGGAGGTAACTTGTAGTGAAGAACTTGGCATGGCTTGTGTAACGACTGTGATGAATGCTTAGTAGAGTTTTTATTCCAGGAGCTATGTAGTGAACTAGTGAAGAACTTGGCAAGTTGGCATGGCTTGTGTAACCATTTTGATAAATGCTTAGTAGGCTTTTTACTCTATGTTTCGTATTTTTAATACGTAATACGTATGCTATTAAATTTATGCTGATACAGTAACTTTCGCAATTCTAAAAGTTGTATAATTTAATGGAAAAATCGCTACATAACCTTAATAAATGGGTCAAGTGAAATTAGTAGCATATGTTTATTTATTGAGGTATTAACAATTTTGTTGGCAATATACAGCCGGTAAAAGTTAAAGTGTTGTATTTAAGCGTGGACCTGGTACCGATCCTGCTTCGTAGTTCGTAATCAGAGATCATTCAGAGGCCTAGAGGCCTAGAGTAGGGATGGACTCGGGCCGGGCCAACCGGCCCGGAACCGGACCGGACCGCTACTGTGCGGGCCCGGACCGGCCCGGTCAACCGGTTCGGTTCCGGTTCGGGCCTCCAGGCCCGGTGGTATACCGGTCCGGGCCCGGGCCTCCAGTTTAGTGAACCGGCCCGGCCGGGCCGGGCCCGGTTCGGGCCGGAATTTAATTTTTTTTTTTTTTTTTTTGAAATTTTTTTAAGTTTTGGGTTGGATTAGGTATTTTGGGCCATTTGAGGTGGTTTGGGGTGGTTTGGGGTGGAGGGGGAGGGGTAGGGGGTTAAATAAGAGAAGAAGAAGAAAAGAAAAAAAAAACATTCCGGGTGGCCCGGCCCGGCCCGGCCCGGTTCTGGCCCGGAACCGGAACCGGAACCGCCCACCACCGGTTCGGGCCCGGGCCTCCTTTTTCTGAACCGAGGCCCGGCCGGGCCCAGGCCCGAACCGGGCCCGAACCGGAACCGGTCCACCCCTAGCCTAGAGCCCGACCCAAAAAATAGGGTCCTGGTATGGTTTTTTTAATTATGGAGTATTTATTATATTATTAATTATTAGTATAAACAAAAAATGTTGCATACTAAATATGATATATAAATTTATTTGAAAAATTACATACATTTTTATTCGTCAGAACGCATACTTATAGTATTGATGGTCATTTTCTCGGTGGCGGACCTTCAACTAATCGTGAAAGCAAAAGAGCGTCTCAATTAGTGCTGGACTCGGGCCGGCGGCTCGGCCCGGTTACTGTGCTACCCGGCCCGGACCGGTGTACCGGGTCACTGGCGGTTTGGGTCGACCCGGCCCGGGGGGAGGGCGGGCCGGGCTCGGGCCTTGGAATTCTTGAACCGGCCCGGCCGGGCCGGGCCTAACGGCTACATTTAAAAAAAAAAAAATCTTTTCCACCTTTTGGAGCTTTGGGCTGGCAGCTGGCTCCATAGCCGTTGGGGAGCCTCCAAACGGCTCTATAGCCGTTGGAGGGGCGGCGGCGGCGGCGGGGGAATACCTATTTATACTCCTATTTTTTATACATTTTTTACACCTTCTTCATACAATCCTACTCTTTAATTCTCTACTCTCTAATACTCTATTCTCTCAATCTCTAAAATCTTCATTCATCTCCATCTTCATCTTTTCCATTCTCCAATTATCTCTACACACACACACACACACATATATATATATATACTTATATTATTTATATAATTATTATTATATCTACTTATATAGTTATACATTTATTATCTACTTATATATACATATATTATATTACTAATATTTATTATCTACTTAATATATATTTATTATCTTCTTAATATTTAGTTTGATATATAATTATCTACTTTACAAGTTGACATACATTGATATTTGATACATATATTAAATTAAATTTACATACACTTATATTATATTACTTATATTCCTTATCTACTTAATCTCTACCTATATATATATATATATATATATATATATATATATATATATATATATATATATATATATATATTCGAATTACTATATATAGTAGTATTATATATTCGAATTTCGAAGTATATTATACTTACTATATATATATTCGAATTTCGAATTACTATATATATTATACTTATATATAATATACTTATATATATTATACTTTTTTTTATTCGAAGTATAATTTGATATCTAATTATCTACTTTACATACATATATTATATTCCTTATATCTACTTAATATACACTTTATATATCAAAGTATTCAATATAAGTGTATTACTCATCTTATAGTAGTATACTTATATATTATATACTATAAACATTATATATAAAATATACATATATATATATATATATATATATATAAAACATTGTGTATATATATATATATATTCGAATTACTATATATATAGTAGTATTATACTATTATAGTATTATATATTCAAATTTCATTAATTCATTTGTTGCATTTCTCATAAAAGTAGTTAATTGTTGCATTTCTCATTTCATAAAAGTAGTTAATTGTTAATTAGTTAGGAGTACGCATTTCTCATTTCATTAATTTCATAAAAGTAGTTAATTGTTGCATTTTTCATTAAAGTGTACAAGTATTTAATTGTTACATTTTAATTAAAGTATAAAACTAGTTAATTAGTTGCATTTTTCATTAAAGTATACAACATAGTAAATTTTGACATTTTAATTAAAGTATAAAATAAGTTAATTTGTTGCATTTTTCATTAAAGTGTAGAACTAGTTAATTGTTACATTTTAATTAAAGTATAAAACTAGTTAATTTGTTGCATTTTTCATTAAAGTGTAGAAGTAGTTAATTGTTACATTTTAATTAAAGTATAAAACTAGTTAATTTGTTGCATTTTTCATTAAAGTGTAGAAGTAGTTAATTGTTACATTTAAATTAAAGTATAAAACTATTTAATTTGTTGCATTTCTCATTAAAGTGTACAACTAGTTAATTGTTACTCCCTCCGTCCCAGAAAATTCTTCCAACTTTGAGTTGGATCGCATATTTAGGTAGTGGAATAAAGTAGAAATGTAAGGTTGTAGTTGTGTAAGAAAAAGGTGAAATGAATGTGAGCCACACAAATAATCAAAAAGGTGAAGTTGGAAGAATTTTCTGGGACGTCCCAAAAAGGAAAGTTGGAAGAATTTTCTGGGACGGAGGGAGTACATTTTAATAAAAGTATAAAACTAGTTAATTTGTTGCATTTTTCATTAAAGTGTAGAAGTAGTTAATTGTTACATTTAAATTAAAGTATAAAACTAGTTAATTTGTTGCATTTCTCATTAAAGTGTACAACTAGTTAATTGTTACATTTTAATTAAAGTATACAAGTAGTTAATTTGTTGCATTTTATTATTACTGTTGTACTCATATTAAAATATTTGATATACTTTTATATTTGTTAAGATGGAGCGTGGTAGACATTCTTTAGATATCGGAAATCTCCAACGCAACCGAAAGAAGGAGATTGCGAGAACTCATCCTAGTTTGCGCAAAAAAAGCGGGCAGACCGGGTCTTCTTCTCAAAGTCGATGGGAGGACGAACCGGAATACCAACGGCGAGATGGCGATGCGATGTCCGACGAGCAACTACAACAACTATTGGCTCAAAATCCTCAATTTTTCCATCAACGAGACATCCCGGATGAGATTCACACCATTGACGAAGAAGAGCTCGAGGATGACGATCTGGAGGAGGACGCGGGGGGCATCGGGAGTCACGGCACCCCGGATGAGGAGCAAGAGGCGGAGGACGAGGGTGGTTCATCCCAAATAGGTACGAAATCTAAATCTCCTATTATAGAAAATAATTTTAAAAAGTATAAAGACCCAAGCACCGAGAAATGGTACGCAAGTTGCAACCATTGCGATAAGGTGTACAGTTTGGGAACTTCGAGCGGATACGGGAGCCTCAAAAGGCATCTTATGGCGAAGCACAAGGTGGAGTACGCAAAAATTGAGAAAGGCAAGGGGAAGCAAACACAAATATCGAGGTTTGCAAATAACCAACCTTATGGTAATTTCTCATACAATGATCAACAAAATTTGACTGGTATGGCTAACTTTATGGTTGAAGAAAATTTACCTTATTTGTTTTCTGAAAGTGTTTCTTTTAAAGAGTATGCACAAACTTGTTTAAATCCTCAATTTCGAAGTTATAGTCGAAAAACGGTTAAGAAAGAAATTATAAGGCTTTATAAGGCGGAAAAATTGAACTTACAAATTTTTTTTGCAAACTATGATGGGCGTGTTACAGTTTGTTTTGACATATGGGAGGACACCTATCATAATTTACATTATTTGGGTTTGAGTGCACATTATGTTGATGATGATTGGAATTTGCATAAACGTGTTCTTGCTTTTCGTGAATTTAATGATCGTCACACCGCCGAACATATTTATATTTTGATTGAGCGTATTTTAATTGAGTATAATTTGGTTAATAAGATGTTTGCTATAGGTTTTGATAATGCTACTAATAATACTGCTGCTATACCTAGATTGCGTGAATTGTGTGGTTCTACTACTTTGATGGGTAGATTTTTTCATCAACGATGTGCATGCCATATAATAAATTTATGTGTGCAGGATGGTCTAAAAGCGTTGGGAGATGCTATGGAGGTAGCGAAGGGGGGATTAGACGTATTTGGGTTAATGGTCAACTTAGATTAAAATGGAAAAATTATTTGAATGAAAGAAATGTGAAATATGTTGCTTTTCCTAAAGACTAGACGAAGTACCCGTGCGATGCACGGGAATATCTAGAATTGAATAGTAATTAATATAAAATTATGTTTTACAATGGTGTGTAATTTCTCATTTTGCGAAGTAAAAACTGACAATATAATTTATATGTTTTAACTTTTATTAAATACGTTGTATTAACCATAAGAAAATCAAAATATAGATCGTGTGAGATATTGCATGTAAAATAAGAAAAATGATAAGATATAAAATAAATTCTATGTGACAACTAAATGACTCGATAGTACTATTCAGTACAAAAAAGTTACGGAATTGACATGGATTGAGCGATGATTTCGTGCCAAATAGCTCATGCAAAATCTATATTTGATGTTAATGGTTAATAACTAAAAAAAGTACATAGATGAATTATTCTACAACAATCTATATTGTATAGCCAAAAAAAATAGAAAGATAGATAATAAGTGGTACCATGTTTGGATATTAATATGAAATATTCTACCATTTCCAGTGCTTTATTACCCAATGTTGGGTGGATCAAATACTTTCTTTCTAACCAATTTTTTTTGAATTTAATAAGTATTAGTATTTGTAAATTAATGATATTTAAAATTAGAGTAGTTACGTGTGTAGTGTATGGTATCAAGTTTTCATCTTATATTACTCCTTCCGTCT